TTGACTTTCAAGGGCCAACGTCTTAGATGAGAAAAACTCAGCTCAACTAAAATATTTGAAATGTGGGTTTCTTTATACAAATATTTGCAGTAGGAACATCACTTTTATTAATTAAACGATTATTAGCCGACTGCAGCAGTGTTATGCTTAGGGCTATACTATGCAGAGACAGAGAGGGAGTTGACTCACGTTGAATGCAATGTTCCTCCCAGGAATGTAATTTGTGAACCCAGTATACTGTGCAAAGGAAAATGAACACTGCCCAGTATTCTGGTATAACTAGTCTACAGGCTGCGTCCACAAAGTGACACGCTCTGCAATGAGCATGAGAGGCTCAGCAAGGGAGAGCTCTGGGACCTTTAACGTACCTCCTCTGCCATCTGGTGGTAATGGTTCTGAATTGCAGGCAAAATAAAGTGTTTCTGGGAGTGCTTTACTGTACTGTTAAAAATCATGCATCAAACTTTTTTTATATTTTTGTTTGAATAGTTGTAAAAAGTTGTACATGATTATTACCATGATACATGTTTGTAGTAATATGACTTCCACTACTTGGCTAACATGTGAGTCACGTGTTAAAGTACTAGACACTTGTAGGCAACATGCCAAATTCCTTTAACAGTCAAACCACTCTGAAGGGCTTCTCAAATGACTTCCCAGCTAGCACATTTAGTTCCTTAGCGGTTGTGACAATGTATATTTTTGGTTTCACATTGGTTGTGGGAACAAAGCCATACATTTCCTGACCGGTAAAACAGAACGTTTTTAAAACGTTCTGAGAACAGAAGTGGAAATGTCACCTTTTCTGGGGAACGTTTATTTTTAGGTTGTAGGGAGGTTCTGAGAATGTTTTACTCTTGAAAGTTTTCATGGGAGGTTTTATTAATGCTTTGAGAATGGAAATTATAGGTTATTTGGAGGTTTTTGAATAACTTACTTAAAACTTTCACTGAATGTTTTAATAAGACTTTTAATAACACTGCTAGCTTATTTTGGGTTAACAGTTTTTAAACTCTAAGCACAGATAGGACACATGGAAATTCATTTCCTTAGGCATTAATCATACAAACACATTTATTTTTTATTGTGACACGGCATTAGTGAGATCTGACCCTATAATCTTCTGTTTTCTATCCATGGAATTAGTCCACAGTGCGCCACCAGGATGGATCTAGCATGCCATGTTTTTTTACTCATAGAAAGCTGTTCATTTGAGTCTATTCAAACAGACTTCATTTCAAAGGAAACAAGCACTCATTAAGATCGGTGTGGACAATTAGTAGGTCTTGACAATTATTGGGCGCGGCCAACACACCTGAACACACTTAAAGGAAAATGTTATTTTGGATTTTGTTTCATTACTCCATTGTTGATATAGTCCCAAAATGTTTTGCATGTCAGCAATCAAGTTTTGAAGATATACAGTGCATTCGGAAAGTATTCAGATGTCTTCACAAGTTACAGCCTTATTCTAAAATGGATTAAATTGTTGTTGTTTTTTCTCATCAAGCTACACACAATGCCCCATAATGACAAAGCAAAAACACGTTTTTAGAATTGTTTGCAAATGTATAAAAATATAAAAATCACATTTACATAAGTATTCAGACCCTTTACTCAGCACTTTGTTGAAGCATCTTTGGCAGCAATTACAGCCTTGAGTCTTCTTGGGTATGACGCTACAAGCTTGGCACACGTGTATTTGGGGAGTTTCTCTCATTCTTCTCTGCAGATCCTCTCAAGCTCTGTCAGGTTGGATGGGGAGCGTCGCTGCAGAGTTCAATCTTGGTTTCATCAGACCAGAGAATCTTGTTTCTCATGGTCTGAGAGTCCTTTAGGTGCCTTTTGGAAAACTCCAAGAAGGCTGTCATGTGCCTTTTACTGAGGAGTGGCTTCCGTCTGGCCACTCTACCATAAAGGCCTGATTGGTGGAGTGCTGCAGAGATGGTTGTCCTTCTGAAAGGTTCTCCCATCTCCACAGAGGAACTCTGCAGCTCTGTCAGTGACCATCGGGTTCTTGGTCACCTTCCTGACCAAGGCCCTTCTCCCCAGATTGCTCAGTTTGGCTCGGCGGCCAGCTCTAGGAAGAATTTAGGTGGTTCCAAACATCTTCCATTTCAGAATGATGGAGGCCACTGTGTTCTGCAGAAATGTTTTGGTACCCTTCCCCAAATCTGTGCCTCGACACAATCCTGTCTTGGAGCACTAAGGACAATTTCTTCGACCTCATGGCTTGGTTTTTGCTCTGACATGCACTGTCAACTGTGGGACCTTATATAGACAGGTGTGTGCCTTTCCAAATCATGTCCAATCAATTGAATTTACCACAGGGGCTCCAATCAAGTTGTAAAAGCATCTCAAGGATGATCAATGGAAACAGGTTGCACCTGAGCTCAATTTCGAGTTTCATAGCAAAGGGTCTGAATACTTATGTAAATAAGGTATTTGTGTTTTTTATGTTCAATAAATTTGCTAACATTTCTAAAAACCTGTTTTTGCTTTGTCATTGTGTGTAGATTGATGAGGATTATTTTTTCATTTTTATCCATTTTAGAATAAGGCTGTAACGTAATAAAATGTGGAAAAAGTGAAGGGGTCTGGATACTTTCCAAATGCACTGTATAACTGTCAAAATACAGAAATACAGCTGGTATAATGCATTTTGCATCAAATCGGCTGTATTTCTATACAGCCTGTCTTGTTTTCCTTTAACAATATATAGGATAGAGATAGTTTTGTTGATGCTGACAATTGAATGTATGTTTTTAAACAACATTCTTAGAAAGTTTTCTGAACGTTAAAGGTTTCTTGAGTTTTAAATGGAAAGTTTTCTGAACAATTTGAGAACATGACTTTAAATAGAACCATGAGGAAACCTGTAGGAAACAATATGCTGAAGTACTGAAATTCCCACAGAAGAACGTTGTTTCTTAATGTTCTCTAAACTATTTGAAAACATTCCCAATCTCAAACCAGTTGGAGAACGTTCCTAGAACATTACCAACATTTAAATTAAGTGTAACTTTTAGTAAATGTTCTGTTAAAGTAATTAAATACCAAGAAAATAAAGTTTGATTGTCAAGTTCCTTAAATGTGCTGAGAATGTTCCAAAGCCAAGCAACTATCCTGCACCATTCCCAGAAAGTTGTGTGAAAGTATGCAAAATAACAACAGGACAACCACACTCTCACCAAGCTCTAAGAAATATAAGTTTCTCAGAACGTTATGTGCTAGCTGGGTTAGTACAAACTTTAATTTACTGAAAATGTTAGGCAATCATAGCTTGTTTTGTTTGCATTTTAATAAATCAATCTAAAGATCAGTCTGTCAGGTGACAGGCCAGAAATAAACATGGCTTACAAAAGGCTATTAATTCCAGTGTTGCCCTCTGCGCAAATACACGAGCGAGAGAGAGCGAGAGAGCGTGAGAGCGTGAGAGCGAGAGCGCGAGAGAGCGAGAGAGCGAGAGTGCGAGAGAGCGAGAGCGCGAGAGAGCGAGAGCGCGAGAGTGCGAGAGAGCGAGAGAGCGAGAGAGCGTGAGAGAGAAGATAAACAAGACCACAGTGCAATATGAGTGCATCAACCAACTTTATTGAGATTTTCTTACATGTTCCACCACCTACACGCCACAGTCAGAATGAATGTGTTTTGTACAAAGCATCGGGTGTTCTAGGTGACCGTAGTCTTCCCCAGAAGCCTTCATTAAGTACAATATATTCAATATTTCTCTCTACCCACCTTCTTCATTCTAGCTGGTTTTTTTGTTAGTTGAAAAGTGGTCACTCTTTGTTTTGTTAGTTCACAAACAGTGCATTATACATATGTGTGCAATATTGCCAAACAAAAATAACAGTTACAGTAAGATGGAAAACCAAACACACTTTATAACAGCTGTACTCTATGAATATTGAGGTTTGTCTACAAAACACACTACTGCTTTAATAAACACAATAGAGTTCATTCGAAGGTATGCAAAAATAAATGTTGTTGCTTGAAAGGAATGAAATTAGACATTTAGTTGAAGAAAAAGTTGAAAAGGTTGGTGTGGTCATAATAGAAAAATCATACTCTTGGCAATTATGTATTTTAACCAAATTGGCTGAGTATAACAATGTCTAACTTCGGTTCAGATCATTCTTTCCTGGCCAGTTTATTTCAGTATTTGCCACTACTCCTTCATACTCCTTACTCAAATATTTGGAACTTTGAACTTTAGGGGGTGGTCATATTGTATGGCCCTCCCCCTCCCCTCTCCCCAGCTGGACATCAGACAGACACCACTAGAGCGTAGTTTCTGTGCCTGCCTTCATTTTGGATGGAGGGAGCAAAACAGAGGAGGAGAAACGTCAACATAATCACCCCATACACTCCCGGGAGGGTGAGACCAACACACTGACGGAGAGAGAGAGGGTGGAGGGTACCTTCCTTGATGTCATACTATCCCTTTGGGCACATCTCAAATAACATCCTGTTCCCCATATCGTAATAGGTTTAGGCTTGGCATTCCCTTACTAGACCCAATGTATTCCTCCATCCCTCTCTATCAGGTGTGGCTTTACAGTACAGGGGCAAAACGAGTTGGTAAGATGGTATGAGCGCTTTGCCCCGATGTTGGTCTCACAGATGTTAATATGAGATCTATAAGCAAGGTAACTGTCACAGAGCCATGGCCCTGCTTACAGCTGCTCTCAGCCTCAGGTTTCAACACCCGGGGATCAGGCTCACATCACTGGCTGAGGCTGCTGTCAGTCAGCGGGGGGCGAGCGTCACTGTCAGGTCTCCCTGATGTGATTGGTGGAGTCACCCATCAGTCCCTGTCACTGTCAGGAGGCGGGCAGCGCCTCATCACAGTGTCAGAGCCCGATTGGCTCGTTGCTCACCCCATCGCCAAACAGCCTCCGTCAGTGTCAGCATCAGCTGACCTTGGAGGAGGGACTTAGATCAGACCCCTCCTTCAAATGTCAGCTGAGCTCCGCCTTTCACCTGGCCCTCCCCTTCACTCAGGGCCTCTGCATAATATTCCCTTCCTGCGCCTCCATGGGCTGCTGACCCATATGCTCCTGACCAACGTGGGCCTGGCCATGGTGGAGCCCCTCAGCGCCATGTTGGTGCTGCTGCTGCTCCACCCCATGGCCACGACCGTGACCGTGCCCCACCCCCCTCTCACCATGGTGACCGTGACCATGGCTGTTGTCATGGTGACCGTGCCCGTTGCCATGGTGATGATGGCCGTGTCCACCGTGAGGTGTATCCCCTCCAGTGGCTGGCTTCTCTTCTCCCTCAGGCTTCGCCTCTGTCATCCTGTTGCACTCTGCTGGGATCTCCGTGCTCTGTGTGTGAGAGAGGAGGATGGGTGTTGGTTTCTCTTTCATAACTCATATAACTAATTCTCACATACAAACACAGACATACCGAGTGCGTGTGTGTGCGTACCTCATACATGCAGTCCCCACATATGCGTTGGCAGTAGGTCTCCTTAATGGCGTTCTCTACGTAGTGAGTACCCAGGATGGAAAAGGGGAGGGAGATATGGTGGGTCAGACGACCACACCTGAGAGAGAAACAGAGAGAGAGACAAAAACATACATGATCAATTACACATCTTAGAATCAGCTATTAAAGACTAGCAGAACACAATGGATTCTCCAATTACATAGAATGAACTACAGGACAAAATACAAAACCTCCAATCCAAAAAGGTCTGTGGTGGTGATGGTATCCTAAATACAATTATAAAATATACAGACCACAAATTTCAATTGGCTATACTTAAACTCTTTAACATGATCTTCAGCTCTGGCATCTTCCCCAATATTTGGAACCAAGGAATGATCACCCCAATCCACAAAAGTGGAGACATATTTGACCCCAATAACTACCGTGGGATATGCGTCAACAGCAACCTTGGGAAAATCCTCTGCATTATCATTAATAATAATAATAATTATTATTATTATTATTATTAGCATTTTGAATAGAATAATGGGCAAATGTTGCACAATCCAGGTGTGGAAAGCTCTTAGAGACTTACACAGATAGACTCACAGCTGTAATAGCTGCCAAAGGTGTTTCTACAAAGTATTGACTCAGGGGTGATATATTTCTGTATTTCATTTTCAATAAATTTGCAAGAATTTCTAAAAACATGTTTTCACTTTGTCTTTATGGGGTATTGTGTGTAGATGGGTGAGAGAAGAAATGTAATTGAAACAATTTTGAATTCAGGCTGTAACACAACAAAATGTGGAATAAGTCAAGGGGTATGAATACTTTCTGAAGGCACTGTATTTCACTTGCTTTGGCAATGTAAACATACAGTTTCCCATGCCTATAAAGCCCCCCTCCTGGAGGACCTGAGCCCTTGGACCATGCCTCAGGACTACCTGGCCTGATGACTCCTGTCCTCAGTCCACCTGGTTGTGCTGCTGCTCCAGTTTCAACTGTTCTGCCTGCGGCTATGGAACCCTGACCTGTTCACCGGACATGCTACCTTGTCTCAGACCTGCTATTTTCAACTCTCTCTCTCTACCACACCTGCTATTTCAACATCTAAATGCCTGGCTTTGAAAAGCCATGTGACATTTACTCCTGATGTACTGACCTGTTGCAACCTCTACAACCACTGTGATTATTATTTGACCCTGCTGGACATCTATGAACGTCTTGGAGAAAAATCTTGCCTTAATGGCCATGTACTGTTATAATCTCCGTCCGGCACAGCCAGAAGGGCAGAAACCTAGGAAGAAACCTAGAGAGGGCCACCCCTCAGAGCCTGGTCCCTCTCTAGGTTTCTTCCTGGGTTTCTGCCTTTCTAGGGGTGTTTTTCCTAGCCACCATGCTTCTACATCTGCATTGCTTGCTGTTTGGGGTTTTAGGCTGGGTTTCTGTATAGCACTTTGTGACATCTGCTGATGTAAAAAGGGCTTTATAAATAAATGTGATTGATTGATTTGATTGAAAGACAGAGATACTTTAATGATTACACAGCAGCATGCTGTAGGAAAAAGAGATTTGTATATGAGATATATGATACTGTATAAGACAAGATACTGTGTGTGAAAGAGAGAGAGGAACAGACAGCATGCTGAGCACGGTTTGTATTTCTGAGTAGACCAAGCGCAGACAGGCAGACAGACAGACAAGAGACTGACAGACAGACAAACAGAGAGACAAGAGACTGATGGGCAGGAGACAGACAGATAAGAGACAGACAGACAAGAGACATACAGAGACAGACAGACGAGAGACAGACAGAAAAGAGACAGACAGACAAGAGACAGACAGACAGATGAGACAGCCATACGAGATACTGACAGACGAGAGACAGACATACAGAGACAAACAGACAGACACAGACAGACAGACGAGAGACTGACAGACAGGAGACAGACAGACAGACAGACAGACAGACAGGAGACAGACAGGAGACAGACGGACAAGAGACAGACAGACAGGAGACAAACAGACAGACACAGAGACAGACAAACGAGAGACTGACAGACAGGAGACAGACAGATGAGAGACTGACAGACAGACAGGAGACAGACAGACAGTAGACAGACAGAAAAGACAGACAGACAGATGAGACACCCATACGAGAGACTGACAGACAGGAGACAGACAGACAAGAGACAGACATACAGAGACAAACATACAGACACAGACAGACAGACAGTCAGGAGCTGACCTGTCATAGATGAGGAAGTCATCCTTCTTTCCAGCCAGGGCCTGCCACACGTCCTCCTGTTTGGGCTCCTGTTTGTACAGCATGATGTTCTCAGACAGTTTCTGGCTCAGCAAGGTGTGAAGGCGCTGGGCCTGCTCCCCCTGGTGGTTCACCACCATATAGGTCACATTGTCCAGACCCTGGCCCTCCAGCTTTAGGCGCAGCTCATCCAATCTGTTCAGAGGAAGTGAAAAGTCAGGATATGGAGAGATGGCCAAACAAAATCATGAAATAACAAAATAAAGAACAGGCATTCTATAAAGAGATGTGCTGCTGACTATTGGAAAAGCGTCAATTTATAACACACTCCACTAGGGGTAGAAAAGTGGTTAAGGGAATGGAACAGAGCCCTATCTGGTCCACTTACAAGGATGCCTGCACCAAGCAGAACATACAGCTGGCCTGGAGGAGGGCCACCACTGTGACCTGGCCCATAACCTCCTTCATTGGCTCTACCTCCCCAATGCTCCAACCAGGCGGCGGCTTACAGCGGGTCCCCTCCCCCTCACTTTCTGCTCCGCCCCCAGGGAGCAGGCAGAGAGCCAGGAGCAGGCTGAGCCCCACCCTCATCGCGGTGCCGTGCCGCAGGCTCGATCTGCTGAAGGGGTGACAGTAGAAGAGGAAGAGAAAGAGAGAGAGAGCGAGAGAGAGACAGAGAGAGCGAGAGCGAGCGAGAGAGAGAGAAAGAGAAGCAAGAGTCAGGTTAGAGTCAGCTCAGCTAATAAAGATAGGATTTGAACAGTGTCCCTTTCCTGTGACAACACTAGAGAGAAAGATCAAGCTGACAAGCTGAGAGAATGAGGGGGATGTCCTCTATGTAAAAATCTTGGGTGTGTCCCAATTTTCCTAAATGAATTCTCTTTCTCTGAAAGGAACTGATTTATTAGGTAAAATAAATGATGGAAATCTATGGGTTCTTTGTCTTTTCAATGGGAGTTAAAGGGGCAATATGCAGTTGCTGCATCCATTTTTGGACTTATAAATTAATTATATGTACCATTGATTCTTGAAGAATATAACTTATTTTTTTATTTTTTTGTAATTTAGCAGACGCTCTTATCCAGAACGACTTACATTAGTGAGTGCATATATTTCCGTACTGGTCCTTATAAATGCCTTGTGAGCTTAGTTCAACTGTCGTAGCCCATCAGAACCCAAAATATAAGCTTGTTTTACTCCAATGTTTGTAAACAAAGTAAATGTAAACAAACACTATATAGCCACAAAACATGGTTAAAACTATACTTTTCATATCATGGATGGTCAGTTTTTGCATCCATAGCTCTGTCTATGAATTTGAGAATGGTTACATTTCTCCAGCCCCATCCCTCAGCTTATTACAGAAAAAGTGGCGCGGAGAGGCTTTGCTATTGTTTCAACTGCAGATTGGCCCTTTAACGGAGACAAAGAATGGAAGACTTTAAAAAATATATATTTATCTGCTGATATGAAATAAATTAGTGATTAGAATAAAGGTAATTATTTCTGATGTTTTACATTTCTAGCCTTTTATTTTAGGGATATATATTTGTATTTTTAATTCTGTTGCACAACCAAAGGCAAACTGATGAACGACAGAAAAAGAAAGGTTTCGGAGAGGGGTGGGTAAATGCAGAAAGTTCTCTCCCTCTGCATATTCATGTTATACTTAATTGTGAACCAGCTGGAAATTATTAAATACATGCCTTACGGAGACAACACCAGCATCAAAGAACAAAGCTATTTTTTTTTATATATCAAAACACTATCTCAATTTATTCATATCAAGTGATCGTGCATCACAGGTTATATACATAAAAAATATGTAGGCTATTCTCTGTATTATGAGCATGCACAACAAGTTACGAAATAATTCTGCAGTCACTTACCGTCTGGTAAAATCTCCCTCAGCTCAGCTCTGTCTAGCAGTAGCTTTTGGAACAACAGCAACACTCTCTGCTCCCCCCTTTATACTCACACTGTTGTTTTCCTGTATGCCCAAAAGGAGGACAAAGTTCATGATGGGTGTCTGTGCAGATGCACTTCTGCACATCTTGCATATATATATATATGTGTGTGTGTGTGTGTGTGTGTGTGAGACAGACAGACAGACAGAGACAGAGACAGAGAGAGAGAGAGAGAGAGAGAGAGAGAGAGAGAGAGAGAGAGAGACAGACAGACAGACAGACAGACAGACAGACAGACAGACAGACAGAGACAGAGACAGAGACAGAGACAGAGAGAGAGCTCAGATGACTACATCTGTCTAATCCCTTTGCCTGAAAAAGTGAAGCCTGCCACAGAATGGTTAAAGAACAGACCATTTTGACATCCTGTTTTTCTCTGGAGGGAAGAAGCGAAAAAAGCGAAGTGAAAAAAGGGGGTGAGGGGTGGGAGAGGGAGTGGGGGTTGGCCAGTGTCCAGCATGTTATGCAAGCCAGCACAAATACAGTATATAACCTGATCGCCTAACTGAACAATTGGACACAAAACAGATAAATCTAACAAAAAGGAGAGAGAGCTTGCATGTATGGACTTGCAACGCGTGAAGGCTATACTGTGTTGTAAAGTTGCACAGAAAAATGCACAGAAAAATCGCAAAGTTTTTCCATGTACTGTCTTGCAGCATGCACAGAGCAAGGCCAACAAGGGGCTGTAGTTACTGAGGAAAATAACATTTCACACACAGACTAAAACAGTCACCTCAAATTGACTAGATTGGTATGAAAATTCCAATCTTCTATTAAGAGGTTTTAACTGCCAATGGCTTATCTCTGGTGTTCCATTACAAGGGCACAGTGAAATAAAGTAAATGATTCCAAGACATCATAAAAAAATACAAGGATGCAATGAACTCTTGGGAAACACAGAGCTTAAGTCCTTAAGCAGCAAAGTGGTTCTCATTCAGTATGGATCTAGGCCAGATTATGAAACAGTGATCACTAAGGGGGCAGAAGTCCCTAGAGTGAGAGAGTGAGAGAGAGAATAGAAGATAGGACCACAGCAAGTCAATGACATAAGACTTGATTGAACTAATCTACAGTGGGGAAAAAAAGTATTTAGTCAGCCACCAATTGTGCAAGTTCTCCCACTTAAAAAGATGAGAGAGGCCTGTAATTTTCATCATAGGTACAGGTCAACTATGACAGACAAAATGAGAAAAAAAATTCCAGAACATCACATTGTAGGATTTTTATGAATTTATTTGCAAATTATGGTGGAATAATAATACAAAGTATTTGGTCAATAAAATAAGTATTTGGTCAATAACAAACGTTTCTCAATACTTTGTTATATACCCTTTGTTGGCAATGACACAGGTCAAACGTTTTCTGTAAGTCTTCACAAGGTTTTCACACACTGTTGCTGGTATTTTGGCCCATTCCTCCATGCAGATCTCCTCTAGAGCAATGATGTTTTGGGGCTGTCGCTGGGCAACACGGACTTTCAACTCCCTCCAAAGATTTTCTATGGGGTTGAGATCTGGAGACTGGCTAGGCCACTCCAGGACCTTGAAATGCTTCTTACGAAGCCACTCCTTCGTTGCCCGGGCGGTGTGTTTGGGATCATTGTCATGCTGAAAGACCCAGCCACGTTTCATCTTCAATGCCCTTGCTGATGGAAGGAGGTTTTCACTCAAAATCTCACGATACATGGCCCCATTCATTCTTTCCTTTACACGGATCAGTCGTCCTGGTCCCTTTGCAGAAAAACAGCCCCAAAGCATGATGTTTCCACCCCCATGCTTCACAGTAGGTATGGTGTTCTTTGGATGCAACTCAGCATTCTTTGTCCTCCAAACACGACGAGTTGAGTTTTTGCCAAAAAGTTCTATTTTGGTTTCATCTGACCATATGACATTCTCCCAATCCTCTTCTGGATCATCCAAATGCACTCTAGCAAACTTCAGACGGGCCTGGACATGTACTGGCTTAAGCAGGGGGACACGTCTGGCACTGCAGGATTTGAGTCCCTGGCGGCGTAGTGTGTTACTGATGGTAGGCTTTGTTACTTTGGTCCCAGCTCTCTGCAGGTCATTCACTAGGTCCCCCCATGTGGTTCTGGGATTTTTGCTCACCGTTCTTGTGATCATTTTGACCCCACGGGGTGAGATCTTGCGTGGAGCCCCAGATCGAGGGAGATTATCAGTGGTCTTGTATGTCTTCCATTTCCTAATAATTGCTCCCACAGTTGATTTCTTCAAACCAAGCTGCTTACCTATTGCAGATTCAGTCTCCCCAGCCTGGTGCAGGTCTACAATTTTGTTTCTGGTGTCCTTTGACAGCTCTTTGGTCTTGGCCATAGTGGAGTTTGGAGTGTGACTGTTTGAGGTTGTGGACAGGTGTCTTTTATACAGGTAACGAGTGGAGGACAGAGGAGCCTCTTAAAGAAGAAGTTACAGGTCTGTGAGAGCCAGAAATCTTGCTTGTTTGTAGGTGGCCAAATACTTATCTTCCACCATAATTTGCAAATAAATTCATAAAAAATCCTACAATGTGATTTTCTGGAATTTTCTTTCTCAGTTTGTCTGTCATAGTTGACGTGTACCTATGATGAAAATTACAGGCCTCTCTCATCTTTTTAAGTGGGAGAACTTGCACAATTGGTGGCTGACTAAATACTTTTTTCCCCCACTGTACTTATTATGGCAGTAGGTACCATACACTCTAAAAAATTAGGGGTTCAACAAGGGTTCTTCTACGAACCTTAGGGTTCTTGGCACTGAAAACTGCCCCCAAAAGGTTCTTCCGAGCTACTCTACTCTCACATGGAACAATCACCCACACAGACAAGGGAGCAGAGGGAACACTTATACACAGACTAATGATGGGATGAGAACCAGGTGTGTGTGATTAACAAGACAAATGGAGTGATGATAATGGGAGCGGCAGTGGTTAGTAAGCCGGTGACGACGAACGCCGAAGCCTGCCCGAACAAGGAGGGGAGGCAGCCTCGGTGGAAGTCGTGACAATACCCCACCTTGACGCGCAGCTCCAGCAGCGCGCCGACCCCGGCCTCGGGGATGGCCAGGAGGACACGGAGTAGGGCGAGCCGGATGGCGACGGTGGAAATCCCGCAAGAGGGAGGGATCGAGGATATCCCTCACCGGAACCCAGCACCGTTCCTCCGGACCGTACCCATCCCACTCCACAAGGTACTGAAGGGACCCCACCCGGTGCCTCGAATCCAGGATGGAACGGACCGAGTACGCCGGGGCCCCCTCGATGTCCAGAGGAGGTGGAGGAACCTCCCGCACCTCAGACTCCTGGAGCGGACCAACCACCACCGGCCTGAGGAGAGACACATACAACGAGGGGTTAATACGGTAATCAGGGGGAAGTAATAATCTATAAGTGACCTCGTTTATTCTCCTCAGGACTTTGAACGGCCCCACAAACTGCGGGCTCAGCTTCCGGCAGGGCAGGCGGAGGGGCAGATTCCGGGTCGAGAGCCAGACCGGATCCCCCGGTACGAAGACCGGGGCCTCCCTGCGGTGGCGGTCAGCGTTGGCCTTCTGACGACGCACAGCGCGCTGAAGGTGAACGTGGGCAGCGTCCCATGTCTCCTCCACGTGCCGAAACCAGTCATCCACCGCAGGAGCCTCGGTCTGGATCTGGTGCCAGAACCGGTTGGTAACCTTGAACACATTGGAAAGGCGTTAGGTTGTTAGAGGAGTGGCGGAGAGAGTTCTGGGCATATTCTGCCCATGGCAAAAACACCAACCACTCCCCCGGCCGGTCCTGGCAATAAGACCGCAGGAACCTACCCACATCCTGATTTACCCGTTCCACCTACCCATTATTCTCGGGGTGGAACCCAGAGGTCAGGCTAAACGAGACCCCCAGACGTTCCATGAACGCCTTCCAGACCTTGGACGTGAACTGGGGACCTCGGTCGGACACTATATCCTCTGGTACCCCGTAGTGCCGGAAGACGTGAGTAAACAGGGCCTCCACAGTTTTCAGGGCCGTGGGGAGACCGGGCAGAGGAAGGAGGCGGGCAGGACTTGGAGAAGCGGTCCACAACGACCAGGATGGTGGTGTTACCTTGGGAGAGGGGAAGATCAGTCAAGAAATCAACACTTAGGTGAGACCATGGTCGTTGTGGAACTGGTAAAGGTTGTAATTTACCCGCTGGGAGGTGCCTAGGTGCCTTACTCTGGGTGCACACCGAGCAGGAGGAGACGTACACCCTCACGTCCTTAGCCAAAGTAGGCCACCAGTACTTTCCGGTCAGGCAGCGCACTGTATGATCGATACCTGGGTGACCAGAGGAGGTTGACGTGTGTGACCAGTAGATCAGACGATCACGGAAAAGAGCAGGCACGTACTGCAGCCCAGCTGGACACTGAGATGGAGATGGATCTGTTCGTAATGCCTGCTGTATATCCGCGTCCATCGCCCATACTACCGGCACCACAATGCAGGAGGCCGGGAGTATGGGGGTGTTGTCTCTGGGCCTCTCCTCTGTGTCACAGTGCGTCTGCCTTCACGTTCTTCGTACCCGGAATGTATGATAGAGTGAAATCAAACCGGGTGAAGAATAGGGCCCACCTGGCCTGGCGAGGATTCAGCCTCCTCGCTGCCCGGATGTACTGTACTCCAGGTTACGGTGGTCCGTCAAAGACGAGGAAAGAGTATTTCGCCCCTTCGAGCCAATGCCTCCACACGGTCAAAGATCGGACAACAGCCAACAGCTCCCGATCACCAACGCCATAGTTCTGCTCC